CCCTTTTTATAATGCTATGACTTTCTTAAAATTACATTTAAAGTTTATAAACATTGCTGTTCCAGAGACACTACTGTTCCACCCTTATTTTTTCATTTCCCCTTTAGTCACTGTATATATGAAGAGAATTCTTATTTTGCAACTGGAAACTGTTTTCTTCCATTCATCCAGTCATTTATTACTGTATCACTTTTGTCATCTTTTATGTTCCTGTGTATATAAAACAAAAACCTAAGCACTATCCTCCTCACTGTTTTTGAAAGAGAATATAATACTATGCTTTTAAGTAATAGCCAGTGACGTTTTAAAAGTTAAATGGAAAAATATAAATGCTTCTAAAAGAGGGTCCATGTTTCACTTTAGGAAGCTTCACACTGACATCTGTGGGACAGCATTGAACATACCGAGGTGTATGGGAGTTGGGGAGGAGAGAGCATAGAAATATTTGGGAGAATAATAGCTAAAAACTCCCTAAGTTTGATGAAAAAAGATCAACTTACAGATCCAAGAACTTCCATAAAACCTAGGATAAATATGAAGAGAAACACTTAGACACTTTATAGTCAAACTGTTGGGAAAATCTTGCAAACAAGAAAATATGGTTTATCTCAGAGGAACAGTATGACTAACAGTTGACTTCTCATGAGAAACAGTGGAGACCGGAAGGCAGTGAATGACATATTTGAAGTATGGGAAGACAGGAATCGTCAATCAAGAATGCTGTCTCCAAAACTATCCTTCAAAATAAAGACAGAAAATGTATTGCTAGCCAAACTAATGGAAAAGAAATGTTAAAGGATGAAAGGAAATGATATCAGACAGTAACTCATATCCACTGCAAGAAATAAAGAATATTGGAAACATGAAGAACTCTGCGGACCTGTTTCCCAGCAAAATAACACTAACTGGCAAAGAGTTTTTTAAAATACCATTTAGAGTCTCTGAAAACTGTCCTGAGAGCATACAGCAGTGAAGACATTTATTGAAGAACATTTACTAAACCTGTCGACAGCAGAAGCCTGAGGCACCAAGACATAGCCATCTCCCAATACCGCCCACCCAGCCTGATGGGAGTTTCGTAGTGGATGGCTGTGGCCAAGAAGATAGGTGCCCCTCCGCCCCACGCCATCAGTCACCAGGGAGGGCAAGCTGACAGCCTTAACCATGAGTCCCAAGAGCCAGCAAGACTCAAGCTACTACAATCAGGAATGAAAGCAAGGACATAATGGGGTAGGAGGAAACCTTGGGAGTTGATTACTATGTTTATGGTCGTGGCAGTGATAATTTTATGGTCTAGATAGACTTAACCCCACTCATTAGGTTGGATAAATGTTTTACATGTCAACAGAGTCCCAATAAAGTGGTTTAAAAAGGAAAAAAATTCATTGGTAATGACATTCCAAAGAACAAACTTGTTAGGTTAAATTTAACAAAAGTGTTAATCTTATACTCTGACAAGTACAAATCATTGTTGAAATAAGCTATTCATACATCGGGAGACAATATTGTTAGATGGTCATTCTCCCAAATTTATTTACTGATCTAGTGCAACCCCTATCAAAACCCCAGTTAGCCTGTTTGCAGACCTTTCTAAGATCCCCAAATTGATAAATTCAAAGGAGCTAGAGTAGCTAAATCCATGTTGAAAAAGGAAAAGTTGGGAAATGCACATTTCTGATTGCAAAACACTAGAAATCCCAGTAATTTAAGAGTGTGTTACTGACACAAAAATGGACATGCAAGTCAATGGGATCCAATTGTACGGAAATAACCCACGTGGCCAGGTGAGGCCGCCCTCCTGGGGCCGGGGGAGCTGCGGGCCAGGCCGGTGGGCGGGGACGCTGGCTCCGCCCCTGTTCTCGGTCCCGCCCCTTTCTCCAGCCCCTCTTCCTCCTCCGCCACTCCCACCGCCTGCACGTCGCCTGGCAACAGCGACTGGCGTCACTTCCGGCCATTTAAACTCGGCGTCGGCGGGGCGCACTCGGGGATGGCGGCGGCCGAGCCCGCGAGCTCGGGGCAGTCGGCGCCGCAGGGCCAGGCCCAGGTTCAGTGGGCGCCCCCCGCTTCCCCCGCGCCGCCTCCGCAGCTCGGGGCCCGGCG